TCATCCATGCCTCACCGGTAACTTCCTTTAGAGGTTTAATATCACCTAACTTATATCGCCCATAATTTTCATCCCTTCAAGAAACTACGAATTCCTTGAACCCAGAGTAGGTAATTTGATCTACTAAGGATTGTGGAAATTGGTTGTGCTACATCGATCAGACTTTTCCATAATGAGAAATAACCGAAGAGAGTGAACCATACAGCAAACGTGTTATCCTTGTAAAACAGTAATTTATTATTCCAATGTTAATATAGAAGCATAATAAGGTTACCAAAAAATCTTCCATGTAATATATATTTTTGTCTTGCAAGGCTGAGGTTACGGCAACACGAGCAGACTTGTCACTTGCACAACATGGCCAGTGATAAAATAGATAGCCCACTCACCGAAGTCGAGTCTGGGAAACTTAAGTTATTGAAGGAAGCCAATACAGATTCATTGCCATCAAACAAGCCTTTAATTCGAAGGGTTCCGAATAGATTGAGCTTGTGCTACCGTAAGGAGGATGGCGTACGATATTTCCAACCAACTTCTGTTGCGATCGGTCCCCTCAACCATCAAAGAGAGACTAACAAACATTCGAGAATCCAAAGAGGTGAGGAGTGCAAGCTGAAACTGGCGAAGGTGTTCATCGACGAATGTAACGGCAAGGAGGAAGCTTTCTACGAGAATGTCAAGAAGGAGATAAAGAGCTTGAAGGACTGCTATTGCTTCTATTGCTTCCAAGGACAGAAATGGACAGATGAGGATCTGGCGTTTATGTTCCTAGTGGATGGCTGTGCATTGTTGCTTTTCATTGTCCTTTATGTGGACGATGCGTGGGAGGGATTCAGAGTTACTCAAGGTCTAGTTGGGATTGCGGAGGTTGATTTTTTCTTACTTGAGAACCAGCTGCCCTACCAACTTCTTAAGATATTGATAGACTCGTTCGCTGAAGCCTCAAAAGATGATGATTTGAAGAGGTTATTCAAGAAATACATCACCGCCTTCGTCGATAAGAGTTTCTTCAATCTGACTGCCCCGCAACAACACCGAAGTCAGGTTGATCATTCTCAGCCTCATCTTTCTCATGAGCAACAAAAAGAAGAAGAAGAAGACCCTGTTCATCTTCTAGACTTGTTGCGAACAAGACTGATGGGAGTCAAATCGAAGAAGAAAGAATGGACTAACAAATCTGGTTGGTTGCGTACAGAAATGAAAGGTAAGAGAAGCAGATACCGGTATTCAATTGGCAACGTAAAGGAGCTGAAAGACCATGGTATTCGTTTTAAGGCGAGGGAAAAGGTAGATTCCTTCACAGAGATTGAATTTGATGACCGTTCTTGCAGGCCAATCCTTAGGCTGGCTCCCATTTTTTTGCACAATACCACCATGCCATTGTTGCTGAATTTGATGGCGTATGAGCTGTGTCCGGATTTCAAAGAAGATTGCAAGATCACCTCGCACTTGTCAGTCCTCGACTCCTTGATTGATAATAGCGAGGATGTGAAGGAACTGAGAGATGCAGACGTGCTGCACCACGGATTAGGAAGCGATGAAGCTGTAGCGGAGCTGTTCAACAAGATCAGCAGCATCCTGGTGCCAAGTCTTAAGATGCACTCAGAATTGAGTCGTATCCATGAATACTGCAGCAAAAAATCACACCTCCGCAATCGACGTGCCAGGTTCGTGGCTAAACTCACTGACACCTATTTTAGTAGTCCTTGGAGCGTCTGGGTCTTCCTCGGTGCCTCAGCCACTCTTATTATGACAGTAATCCAAACTTATAATAGCTTCCAGGGAAAGAAGCTCCCCTAGTGAGCTTTAATTACTGTATATATTAATAGCGTTCTTAAAATATGTCTAAGGTTTCAATTGGGTTGGGAAAACAATTTTATATATTTTCTGTTGTTATTATTGTTATTATATTTGTGGTATTTTTTATCGAATATTTATTATTATTTTATTTATATTACTATTAATAAAGTCAATATTATTTTACCTTTATTGTAGTCCCTATGGACTACACCGATAGCTAATAAGTTCGTTAGTATAGGATCCATTAGTACACATACTGGCAATAAATAGTCATCAGTATTGTAATAGAAAACTACAAAGACAGTTATTTATGACCAATGTCTTAAACTGTTTACTATAATGATGGATGTGATATACAGATGACAACACATTAGTATACGGTCAGAAAATATTAAGATGTTTAGTGACACATTATTCGTCGGTATATTTCTTAAGATATACTCACGATTGTTTTTGCAATCTATTTGATAAGATTTATACTGATGCCCCTTCGTTCGTATAGCTTTTTTTTTCAAAAAATGATAAGACTGCTGCATCTGAATCCCTTTACTGCCCAAATGCACAAACCAAATTTGATAAAATTCACAAATCCACTTGAATTGTTGTTGGAATGCACTAACCTTACTTCCATTAACTAAATAACAAGCATAATCCATCCAATAGAAACAAATTTGACAAAACAAACCTAATGTAATTCCATAAGTTCATAAATCTAATTGGCCAACACTTACACCAAGAATTGCAACAATTCTAACACATTTAACACATGTTTATGAAAAACGTAAAAAACAAAATAAACACCTCAAATGAACGGGAGAAGAAGAAGTCATGAACAAGAATTGCAACATTTTCACAAAAGAGTTAGATATCATAGTTTTAGCCTTTAAATGAAGAATCACATCATCAAAAAAATTAAAAGATAATGCCACATGAAATTATTTAACTGCCACATCATATTTAACTGACGAAAGGATTAAAACTGTGCAATTTTTAAAGTCGAGAGATCAATTGAAGAGTAATGGAATGTTAAACATGGGAAAAGAAAGGGAAATAAATTGAAGAAGGCAGGAATAAGATTTTGAGCGAAGACTTTAGTTTTCCGTTAACGATGATAACGCTTAATAATTTCACGTTAAATGCTCTCTCCCGTTACATCGATGAGCTGTATCCATGGTGCAGAGATTTTACCTTTTTATCGCTTCAGGATTCATGTGATATTCTAGATTTTCTTGATAAGCACGTGACTACCTTCAGTAAAACGAAAACTTCAAGACTTTTAAGTTGGGTTAAAGCCAATCATCGTCCCTCTACTTTTAATTTTTATTCATGTTCATCCCTCTACTAAGGAGTTGTTCATTGTCATTCTCCTCCTTCACCAAAAGCACTAAATGTCGTCCTGTACTCCCATTATTTTGTTCGTGGTCATCCTTTTTTTAACGGAGTTGCCTTAGTCGTCTATTTGAACTGTTTAATCCATAAATGGTCAATTGTTGAAGCTTTTCTTGGATTTTTTTTTCATATATGCTGCCAACTAGGAGGATAGAAGCACCCCTTAGTCAATGTCTTGCTCCACTTCTTCTTTCAAATTCAATCATTTATGTTGTTTATTTCTAATATTATCTCTTCTTATATTTATTTGTTTTTACAGTAATTCACATTTAGCCCAACTATTATAAACTGACAATTTTTAGTTAAAGAGGTGGACTATATTATATAATGTATTAGTAAGTATACATATTGAGTTAATAAATTGTGATGCTTTAAATTTTATATTGGGTAAAAATGTAAATGTAAAGATTCATTATTATTGAAAACTTAATGTTAAACTTAACTTAAAAAGTTGTTAAAATTATCTTTATGAGCTTTTTTAATAAGGTTTTAGGGCATATGCAAAGAGTACATTTATCATATTTTTTAATAATTTATATAAAAAATTACTAAAGTAAATTTTATTTTTAACATCAGTCCCATATGAAACATTTTAATTAGATAGTTAATAAAATTATAGTTAATTTTTATTTTTTATACAAATTAATGATGAAAAGATGCACCCATTAAAAAAATTATTTTTAATGGATGGTCTTTCTAACATGATCGATGAAATATTTGTTTTCATTATATATTTGTATTGAAAAAATAAAAATTAACTTTTAATTTATCAACTATCTAATTAAATTTATCAACTTGACACTAATATTAAAATTAATATCACTTTTTAGATTTTTCTATATATATTTATGATAAGAAGGTTAGTTAGAAAAACCTTTTAATATATGCCTTAAGAAAACAATTAAGAGTGTAATTAATACACTTTTTAACTATTAAATTACATAGAAAATTAAATACTATTAATTTTGATTTTAACAACTAATCAATTAAATTAGTACATGTAACATTAGTGTTAAAATTAATTTTAGCTTTTTTATTTTTCGTATTAAGTGACTAAAAGATGTATTAATTATACTTTAAGGCAAAGTTTGAAAATAAAAATATATTTCAATAACCACCTAATATCACAAATTTAATATAAAAATATTTATTTGTATTCTAAAAGTGCATCAATTATACATTTTCTCTATTAATTTGTATAAAAAATTACAAAAGTAAACTTTATTCTTAGCATTAATGCCACATTAAACAACTTAACTATATAGTTAATATAATTAAAGTTAATTTTTATTTTTTTATGTAAATTAATAATAAAAATATATAATAAATAACCTTTAATACTAATGTATTGTTGGTCTGAGTGGAAGGAATTATGTTTTTTTAAAATAAAATTTCAAATTCAAGTCTTGTAAATGGAAAAACAGACGTTGGGAGAGTTTTCTTCCAAATGGGGTATGACGCGGCTCGATTCTGAATTAATTGAAACTCAACATAATTACTGAATACCGAAAGATTAATACAAAAAAAAAAAACCTTAAAAATGAAAAATTCTAAAATTCTAAAATATTTTTATGTGTATGACTTATTTATTGTGATTCAAACACAAGACACAACACTTGCAACATCTTTTGTCTTGAATTAAACAAAATCTCGTTTAAAAATAGCAACATGCATGTCCACTATCTAGTTTCCAACCCCCTTGCTTCTCTCCTCCTAGCTGGCAACACACTTGGAATCACAAATTCCAAGAAATGCTTCAGTTGATCGTTTGTGAGTTAAACGGTCCAAATAGATGGCTAAAACAATGCCGTCAATAAAAGGATGACAAATAAACAAAATAAGAGGAGTACAAGGACGACATTTAGTGTCTTTGGAAAAGTAGAGGGATGACAATGAATAAAGCTTTAATAGAGGGATAAACATAAATAAAAATTAAGAGTAGAGGGAGTACAGTTGGCTTTAACCCCTTTTAAGTTCGATCACAAACGTGGCCTCGTTTTGGATCACAAACGTGGCCTCGTTTTGAATCACAGATAATTCTGACTAGTACTATAAGAGAAAGAATGTAAGGGCTCTTAGGAGTGGAAAATACCTTGAATCTCTAGTGATTTCATTTATTTTTAGTAAAGTTTAGCAGTAATTTCAATTGAAATTTAATAATAGTTCATGGACTTAATTTGATAGTATTTTTTTTTTTCATTTGAACTTTATGATCGAATGATTATATATTTAATTATAAAATATATCTTCAATTTTAAGGCTGAGTTTCGAATTTCCTCTCAAAAATTGTAAAATGTTAAAAAAATTGATATTAATTTGTTTTTTCAGAGCCACGTCAAGAGAAACTAACGGCACCTGCATGACTCATCCGCTATATTAACGGAGATAAACGGTAGCCGTTATATATAAGGGGCTAATTTGCTATCGGGCAATTTAGGAGGTATCTTCTCAAAAGTTATTTTAGGGGACTACACGAAAATACAGGAGAAGTTTAAGGGGCTTAACAATGGGTTCTGCTTATATATACCTCTTTAGATCGACTTATTCTCCGACACTTAGCAGCCTCTAAGGAAGACTGGTGCGTTGCATATATCTCCACTCCGCACACTCTGTCACCCTGCATTTGGCTCCAACACCATCAATTGACAAAGACTCATATATTCTGAGGTCAGAGGTAGTTATATATTTGAGTTCATTCTTGATCTATTGATTGTTTCTGTCTGTTTTTCTTTAATTTTATCAGTAAATAAATACTTTTTTATTATTTTGGTATAAGAGATACCTTACCTTTTCATCAAACTTTACATTCCCAAAAATCTCCTGCATGTTTCAACTACAATTTTTCTCACAGCATAGACAAAGAAATTGAATCCAATCACTTAAAGTAAAAGATAAGCCTGCCGTTTTTCCTTTGATCTAGATAAAAGACTTAATCTCTGCATAAACTCAAACAATCTTTCTTCGTTGCGCTGACCCCTCCAAACAAAATATTTTTCCTTTCCAACCAAATAGCCCACAGCACCATGCAATAAATAAGGGACCCCCAACTCCTTATTTTACAAAATAAATCCAACACGAACTGCAAACATAAATTTTTAATTGACTCTGGGCATACAAAGGCAACATTCCACCACTTGCAACATTTCATCCAAATTTTACAGGAGCACTTACAAGTAGCATATAAATTAGGTTTATATCCACAATTTGTTAATTTGAGTGAAAGGAGCTTAGGTTTTGAAAGTCTTCCATTCAAATTTTGCAAATAAAAAAACAAGTTTTATGGGGTCCAATTTAGCTTGATTTTGAATTAGTAGGACTTAATGTGATTTTTTGGATATAAAGAGTTTAGAGATTGTTTGGCAAAGTGGCTAAAATTCAGTAGAAGTAAATAGCAAATTATCGATAGTGGGAGTGGTAGTAGAAAATGGGTAACAGATAGCAAATAATAAATGACAAATAGAAAAAAAATAGTAATAAATAGTAGATAATGGATCTTAATTGATATAATTATTTAGTTATATAATAGTTAGTAGTAGTTT